CTCGAAACTGCTGCATTTGTATAAAACGGTTGCGCGCAGCGCATAGGCGACAGCCACATTTTGAAAACGACCCCCCCCCCCCTCATTCGCGAAACGGCTGCCACGATTTTTTCCCGTCCGATGTGGGGTTCTTGCTTTCTCTACACACACACCCCGCGCAGGATCTCTCCCATCTCTTCCTCCTCCTCATCATCATCATCGTCATCATCATACATTCTCACACGCTCACACTCGCACGCTCACCCCCCTCTCCGCCTCTCTCACTCACGTCATCGTCATCACTCACACACTCACTCACACCTACACTCACTCACTCACTCACTCACACCCACCATCATGATCACCATCATCATCAGTCGATCACTCACCCACTCACTCACTCACTCACTCACTCAGACACCCACCATCATCAGCCATTCACTCACCATCATCATCACTTACTCTCTCATCACTTCGTCATCACTCACTCCCTAGTTTGGATTGGCGGAAGTATCAAGCGGGAGCTTCGTCTGTGAGTGAATTGTGAGGAAGTCTCAGGCGGGAGCCCCCTCCCTATGGGTCCTGCACTTCATGTTGGTAATCCGATCGGGCCATCCTCAACCCTGTAACTATCGTCAAATTTGGGCTCCTGAGGTTCGAAAATGGAGGAAGTATCAAGCGGGAGCTTCGTCTGTGAATGAATTGTGAGGAGGAAGTCGCAGGCGGGAGCCCTCTCCTTATGGGTCCCGCACGTCATGTTAGTATTCTGAACGGGCCAACCTCCATCTTGTAGTAACTGTCGTCATGTTGGGGCTCCTGAAGCCTGAATATGTAGGAAGTATCAGGCGGCAACCTCGTTTGTGAGTGACTTGTGACGAAGTCTCAGGCGGGAGCCCTCTCCCTATGGGTCCCGCACTTCATGTTGGTAACTCGAGCGGGTCATCCTCAACCCTGTAACTGTCGTCACTGTTGGGATCCTCGGGCCTGAAATTGAAGGAAGTCTCAGGCGGGAGCCTCGTCTGTGAGTGACTTGCGAGGAAGTCTCAGGCGGAAGACCCTTCCCTATGGGGCACGCGCTTCATGTTGGCAATCCGAACGGGTCATCCTCAGCCTTATAACAGTCGTTACTTTTGGGCTCCTCAGGCCTGATTTGGAAGGAAGTATCAAGCGGGAGCTTCGTCTGTGAATGCATTGTGAAGAAGTCTCAAGCGGGAGCCCCCTCCCAATGGGTCCCGCACTTCATCTTGGTAATCCGAGCGGGTCATCCTCAACCCTGTAACTATCGTCACTTTGGGCTCCTGAGGCCTGAATATGTGAGAAGTATCATGCGGGAGTTTCGTCTGTGAGTGAATTGTGAGGAAGTCTCAGGCGGGAGCCCCCTCCCTATGGGTCCTGCACTTCATGTTGGTAATCCGATCGGGCCATCCTCAACCCTGTAACTCTCGTCAAATTTGGGCTCCTGAGGCTCGAAAATGGAGGAAGTATCAAGCGGGAGCTTCGTCTGTGAATGAATTGTGAGGAGGAAGTCGCAGGCGGGAGCCCTCTCCTTATGGGTCCCGCACGTCATGTTAGTATTCTGAACGGGCCAACCTCCATCTTGTAGTAACTGTCGTCATGTTGGGGCTCCTGAAGCCTGAATATGTAGGAAGTATCAGGCGGCAACCTCGTTTGTGAGTGACTTGTGACGAAGTCTCAGGCGGGAGCCCTCTCCCTATGGGTCCCGCACTTCATGTTGGTAACTCGAGCGGGTCATCCTCAACCCTGTAACTGTCGTCACTGTTGGGATCCTCGGGCCTGAAATTGAAGGAAGTCTCAGGCGGGAGCCTCGTCTGTGAGTGATTTGCGAGAAGTCTCAGGCGGAAGACCCTTCCCTATGGGGCACGCGCTTCATGTTGGCAATCCGAACGGGTCATCCTCAACCTTGTAACAGTCGTTACTTTTGGGCTCCTCAGGCCTGATTTGGAAGGAAGTATCAAGCGGGAGCTTCGTCTGTGAATGAATTGTGAAGAAGTCTCAAGCGGGAGCCCCCTCCCAATGGGTCCCGCACTTCATCTTGGTAATCCGAGCGGGTCATCCTCAACCCTGTAACTATCGTCACTTTGGGCTCCTGAGGCCTGAATATGTGAGAAGTATCATGCGGGAGTTTCGTCTGTGATTGAATTGTCAGAAAATCTCAGGCGGGAGCCCTCTCACTGTGGGTCCCGCACTTCATGTTGGTAATCCGAGCGGGTCATCCTCGACCCTGTAACTGTCGTCACTTTTGGGATCCCCAGGTCTGAACTTGGAGGAAGTCTCAAGCGGGAGCCTCGTCTGTGAGTGAATCGCGAGGAAGTCTCAGCCGGGAGCCCCTTCCCTATGGGGCACGCGCTTCGCATTGATATTCCGAGCGAGGTCATGCGAACTCTGTAACCGTCGCCATTTTTAGGCTCCTCGGGCCTGAAGATGCAGGAAGTCTCGAGCTGGGGCCTCGTCTGTGGGTGACTCGCGGGGAAGTCTCGAGCGGGGGCCCCTCCCTATGGGAGCCACTGGGGGACGTGTAGTACGCGCACCCCTGGGACGTGCTTTGCACGCACACATGGGGGCACGTACGGTATACTGCACGCGCACCCCCTGGGACGTGCTCCGGCACGCACCCACTGGGACACGTGTAGTACACGCACCCTTGGGGACGTGCTTTGCATGCACCCATTAGGAAACGTACAATATAGTACACGCGCACCCTCTGGGACGTGCTCCGGCACGCACCCACTGAGACACGTGTAGTACGCGCACCCTTTGGGGTGGCGAACGCGCGCGCGCTGGCCGAGGCGGCGACATCGCAGAGGAAAATCGATTTGCTTGCCCCGACCGGGGGGGTGGGGGAGCGCATGAAGAAGAAGCAGGGGAATGATGAGGACGGGGAAGGGGTAGGGAGAGGGTGATGATGATGAGTAGGTGGAGAAGGAGAAGGAGGAGGAGGAGGAGGAGGAGGAGGAGTAAGAGGAGGAGGAGGAGGAGGAGGAGGAGGAAAGTGCAGAGCAGAGGGCGAAAGGAGGGTGTCCGCCAGGGCGAGGAGGGAAGGGCTGAGGGCAAGCCAAACAGATGCTCATGCGGGGTCCTTCCGTCGGAGTCATTTGGACGAGTATGCGCGGCGACTCGGGGAGAACAACAGTTTCAAAAAACACTCCCCTGCAACAGTGAAACTAATGCACGTTAAAGACGTGTGCGCGCGGCGCTAAATCGAGAGCCACATTTTGGAAACGACACGTCATCCACCCTCGAGGTTGTTGCAAATTCTCAGCTTCGGGGCAATGGACTGTGGGACATCTCAGCCGAAACGCCCCGCCCGCCATACCGACACGCCTGGGCGTGCGCCAGAGAGGAAATACGTCTCAGGAATGGAAGAAGAAAAAGAAAAGGAGGAGAAGGAGGAGGAGGGCCAAGAACCAACGAACACTTCCAAAAACTCCCGGAGGAGGTGGAAGAGGGAGGGGGACACAGGAGAACAGGGGGCCTTCGACGCAGGAGAGCGTTGCAGGATGTCTATGTGCGTGGAAACCACGTCCCGCATGGTGTCCACACCTCGGCGCGGCGCCGCCCCCGTCGTCGCCACCGCGTGGGGTCCTCCTCCTCCTCCTCCTCCTCCTCCTCCTCCTTGTCTTCCTCGTTTTCCCTCCTCCTTTTGTCTTCTCCTCCTCCTCTTCCTCCTCCTCCTCCTCCTCCTTCTCCTCCTCCCCATTCTCCTCCTCATCCTCCTCCCCTCCGCCTCCTCTTCCTCCTCCTCCTCCTCCCCCTCCTCCTCCTCCCCTCCTCCTCCTTTTCCTCTCTCTGCCTTCCCCTATTGCTCCTCCTCCTCCTCCTATCCCCCCTCCTCCCTCCTCCTCCTCCTTCTTCTCCTCTTCCTCCTCCCTTCTCCGCCCATCCTCCTCCCCATCCTCCTCCTCCTCTTCCTCCTCCTCCTCTCCTCCTCCTCCTCCTCCTCCTCCTCATCCTCCTCCTCCTCCTCGTCCTCCTCCTCCTCCTCCTCCTCCTCGTCCTCCTCATTCCCTATGGATCCTCCTCCTCCACCTCCTCCCTTTCATCCTCGTACAAAATTCATGCTGAATAATATCCACCCTGACCTGACTCCGTCCTGAAGACATTCGGTCCTCTCGGCGTACCGTTATTGACACAAGATTTCGAAAGTTGAGTTTTTTCAACAAATAAACCTGTGTTGTTGGGTCCTCGTTTTGAAGAGACGGTCCCCGCGTTTCCTCCTCATCCTCCTCCTCCCTCTTCCCCTCCTCTCATCATCATTATCATCATCATCGTTGTCATCGCCGTCATCACCATCATCAACATCAGCATCATCACCCCCCAGTACAGCGTTTCGTGGCCCCACGGGGAGCGCCACCGAAGATCCCCGTGGCGCAGTCCGCATGCGTCTCCTCCACCCAGTACAGCGCTTCGTGGCCCCATAGGGAGCTCCACCGAAGGTCCCCATGGCGCTGTCCGCATGCGTCTCCCCCACCGAGTACAGCGCTTCGTGGCCCCCTAGGGAGCTCCACCGAAGGCCCCCGTTGGCGCGCAGAATCCCGCATGCGGCCCCCCCCCCCCCCCACCCACCCAGTACAGCGTTTCGTGGCCCCATACGGGCTCCACCGAAGGCCCCCGTGGCGCAGTCCGCATGCGTCTCCCCCCACCCAGTACAGCGCGTCGTGGACCCATAGGGAGCTCCACCGAAGGTCCCCGTGGCGCAGTCCGCATGCGTCTCCCCCACCCAATACAGCGCTGCGTGGCCCCATAACGGCTCCGTGGCGCTGTCCGCATGCGTTCCCCCACCCAGTACAGCGCTTCGTGGCCCTTAGGGGTTCCACCGAAGGCCCCCGTGGCGCAGTCCGCATGCTTCTCCCTCACCCAGTACAACGTTTCGTAGCCCCATAGGGAGCTCCACCGAAGGCCCCCGTGGCGCAGTCCGCATGCGTCTCCCACACCCAGCACAGCGCGTCGTGGCCCCATAGGGAGCTACACCGAAGGTCCGCGTGGCGCTGTCCGCATGCGTC